AAATTGGAGGGTATAAATTTAATAATTAGTAACGAAGTAATTTCAGATTAATTAGTGTAATCTTGCAATAGCCATAGTATTCCTATCTTTCAGAATTTACAAAGAATATTTACCTGGCAATATTACAGAAACAGAAAGTATGGAGAGCTTTCTAAACACAAACAGATGAAGACATTTTTCTGCTATATATTATCATTGGAAGTGTAAATTATTTTAAAACTTTATTCAAAAGCAGGAACACAATCTTGGTTACAAAGCATATCAACAGGTGTGGACATTTCTGATATCAGGGTGGTTATACATATTCCATTTGCTTCCTGTTTAAACAAAATAAAACATCAACGGTGCCTTTCCTCTCAAAAGACTGGCCAGAATATATAAAGATATCAGTGGGCAGTGCTTTAACATGAAAAGTTTTGAAGAACTGTTTCAAGAATTATGTATCTCTTTAGGATTTGGGTTAGAGATCTCTTGTACTCACTTGATAAAGGGGAATATTTGTACAAACTAAATTCACTATAGATTTCTGAAAAAATTAAACGCAAGATGGATACAGTGTATGGAATACATAACTGTACAGTTGTAAAACTACATGCTGTTCTGAATTGCTTGGTCAGCAAGAAACTGACAATCATAAATTATATGTCACACAATCAGTTTAAAGAAAGTCATTTCTTCAACCTTTAAGGGATTCCTATTATCAGACAGGAACATTCGTGCGCACCTATTTGCTTCCCACACTGGCATTTGTTGTTCAGTCGCATAGTCGAGTCCGACTCTTCGCGACCCCATGGACCAGATCCCGCCAGGCCCTCCTGTCTTCCGCTGTCCTCTGAAGTTTGCTCAGTTTCATGTTCGTTGCATCAATGACACTGTCTAACCATCTCATCCTTTGCCATCCCCGTCTTCTTTGACCTTCAATCTTTCCCAGCATCAGGGTCTTCTCCAGTGAGTGCTCCCTTCTCATTGGGTGGCCAAAGTATTTGAGCTTCATTTTCATTATCTGGCCTTCCAGGGAACAGTCAGGGTTGATTTCTTTTAGGATTGACTGATTTGATCTTCCTGCAGTCCAAGGGACTCTCAAGAGTCTTCTCCAGCACCATAGTTCAAAAGAATCTATTCTTCGGCGCTCGGCCTTCCTTATAGTCCAACTCTCGCAGCCATACATGACTACCGGGAATACCATTGCTTTGACCATGCGGACTTTTGTTGGCAGGGTGATGTCTCTACTTTTTATCATGCTGTTTAGGTTCGCCATCGCTTTCCTCCCAAGTAGCAGGCACTTTAATCCTTCCCTTTAGATCATTACAGCAGATTAGCTAGTAAAGCTCTGACTATAAACAGAGCAACTCTACTTAGGATGGCATTGTTAGTACTCTGCAATTTACCTGTGGTAAATGCAGTACTGCTACAATAGTATACCAGGTATCTGGCTGGACCAATGGATCCAGACAGGTGTTGCTAATTAGCTTCTCTTTATGGCTGCCAACATACTGCAGGCAATATCTTTAGCTACTAGAAGCACTTTCAGCCCAGGAGGTGCAATATAAATAAAACATTAAGGTGCTTAGCAGTCAGTAGCTACCTCAGCCATGGTTGTCTGCAAACTAAGAAACAATCTGAAATGCTTCATAGAAAAGTTAACTATTAGTAGTTGGAGTTGCCTTTGCTAATGTGGCCAATGTTTTATTGTTTCCTCCTCTTGTGCTTCCTAGCACATTTGAACTAGCACAACAGTTGGCACAACTGACATTTGGTTTACAGCTCCAGCATGTCAATGCATTATGGTAACTTACTATTATTGCTAGAGAAAGGACCTCTGGGGAATGTCTTCCATGTGAAATAAAACCCAAAAATATTTCACCTAAGATACAAAACTCCAGGCCTACCTCCTCTGCAGTCTTAAAATGCTCAAGGTTCTTTATGGCTACTTCCAAAGCTCTTTCTATTTCTTGCAAAGTTCTGCGGTCCTGGGGGGAAAGAAATCACAGGATATCAACATTAATGCAGCACTACCTTATAAACAGGAACCCTATCAAGCCTGGTTATATTTTACAAAACTATATATCTGTATGAAGTTGAAACTATACATCTGTATGAAGTTGTTTTTAACAAACAGCCGTTTATTACATTTATACCTTGCCTATTAATTATGGAACTCAAAGCAGCATACAAACACTTCTGAGACAAATAGCCAAACCTATACTTGTTTAGCTTCAGCAAGGCTGATGATATGACTTGCACCATATCCTTGGGACCTAACCAAACACTGAGACAAAACTGGGCATTTTTTTTTTAAAGTCACATCAGAATTAGAATTATCCATACGTTTAGGATAAGCAATAATTCATGATTTGATAAAGCCACCAATTTTTACAGGGGAAACATTTCCTCCAGGCTCATCTAGATGATATGTGTGACACAGGCTGGGTCAGGGTGCCCTCAACCCATGTCAGGTAAGGGTTCTCCCAACCCATGCCACATGCAGCACTGGGGAACTAATTTTTCCAAGTGCTGCAGTTCATGAATGAGTGTGTGTGGTGGGGGAGAAGCCTCAGCCTTCCCTCTTGCACCATTTTCCCATGCTGAAACAACCACAGAGGGGGCCTGTTTGCTCTGCTTTGGGGTGCCATGTGCTGTAGTCAGTATACACAGATCTCTGCAGAGGGGCAAACAGCCCCCTCTGTGTCTATTTCAGTTTGAGAAAACAACATGGATGGGAAGGCTGAAGCTGCCCACACTCACACTGCACTTGTGAACAAAATTTGGCCCTGGAGCACTTGGGAACATTAGTTCCCTGGGGCTCTTTGTGACACATGTCCACATTCTAGACGATTTTTAAAAATTCAATAAAACAGAGGACTGTTAAATCTATTGCTGAACAAGACCTAGATGTTCTCCCACTGTCAAGAAACATTTTCTTAGGGCAGACTAGTTTACAAGCTTTGGAAGGCAACACCATTCCTGTGCATTGATGCCTCACCGTTTCATTAACCATCTTGTTCCTTTGCATTTATTACGTAGTTCTTTACAGAACATACCCCAAAGTATAAATGTCTTCATTCTCTATTAAAAATTGCAAGAATACCCAGTACTCGAGACAGTTATGAGCTGCTACATGCTACTTTACCATAGCAGATGTATCTTAGCTTTTTGCTATCTAAACGGTTAAAGAAAACAAAAGTCAAAGTAAAAACCAAACTCCCTAGTAGACAAAAGTGTATTATTTGGACATAGCCTCATACAGTCGCATCAGGAAGGACTACTAGAATATACAGAGAGCCAGTTTGGTGTAGTGGTTAAGTGCATGGGCTCTAATTTGGGAGAACCAGGTTTGAGTCCCCACTCCTCCACTTGCAGCTGCTGGGTGACCTCGGGCAAGCCATAGTTCTGTCAGACCTGTTCTCTCGAGGACAGTTCTGGAAAGAGCTCTCTCAGCCCCACCTACCTCGCAAGGTGTCTGTTGTGAGGAGGGGAAGGGAAAAGCGTTTGTAAGCCACTCTGAGACGCCAAGTGAAGGGCGGGGTATAAATCCAATCTTTTCTTCTTCTATTTGGGTATTAATTTAATAACACCAAAAACTCTGGACACATTATAGCATATTTATTGTTACCAAAATAGTGTACACTTAAACAAAAAATTCCTTGAAAATTTTATACCTACACTATATGTGGAATTATTATTGTTACCTAATGGTGTATATTAAACATTTTAATGTAAGACACACTGCATATTTTCAGTTAAGCTTTGTGTTTCATTGTCTCATTACGAAATGGGGGCAGGGATCACAGGAGATTCTGCACTGCTCTCTAGCAGCTCCAAATTTGTCTGTCAGAAAAAATGAAAGCACTCCCAAGGGAAAAACATCACTACACAGAGACAAGTATTCCTGTTTGTTTCCCCCTCCTAAGTCAAATCATACCCTTCACTATTGTTTTATAGCAAATCAGAATCTGTTATATTTATTTAATAATCATTTTTAATGATTATGTGATTACTTAGAAGTATTTAGAAATGGTGTTAAATGGAGGAAAAATGACTATGCTGCTGTTTAAAAGCAATTATAAATGGTAATGGGTGATGTTGTGGGTGGTGGGTATCTGTATGTGTAAAAAATCCAATAAAATATATATTTTTTTTTAAAAAAAAAAAAGGTACAAGCTCTCCCTCCTCTGTGAGGGCAGATCTGTGTGTTCCCCCCCCCATAGCTAGCAATCCAAAACAGTCATGTGGCACCTTTAAGACCAAGTTTTATTAAGGTACAAGCTCTCTCTCCTCTGTGAGGACAGATCTGGACGTTTCCCCCCCCATAACTAGCAATCCAAGAGTCCAGTGGAGCCTGAGTGGTGGGTGCCTTCTGACACACTTCCGGTGATGTCAGGGTGTGTGGCATATGCAAATAAGTTATGCTAATGAGGTCCTGCACCTCTTTTTCTACGAAATACTAGTTTTTAATGTAATAATTGTTTTTAAATGCCTGGCAATGACTTATGCCAAAACCTAAAGACAACAGTATTTTCTATCTACACCCTCACTCTCTCTCTCTTGTGGCAAGCCATCTGAAGATAGTTTTATTCATGATAGCAATCAATTAAGTGGATAAGTTCTTCTGTCTACCAGCAGTTTTAAATAACTGATTTTAATCCAATAGTTTTTATGTATCCTACTGCACTTTATCATTATTTACACTGTAAGCTACTTGGGGTTCCTATAAGGTAAGGTAAAGTCAGCTAATAAATGGTTTAAATGATATATTAGCAAAACACCTTTCTAAGCAAACACAAAAGCAAAGATTTACATACCATGTTCATCAGAGATGCCTCCCACATTAACCGGCCAACAAGCCCCCAGTTGGGAGTCTGCTTTCTCTTCTCACAGATGTTTTGATACTGATTCCTATAAAGTAAATTTTCTTAAACATAAAAAACCAATTTCAAGAATGCATTCTTTTTAAAGAAAACCACTATCCTATTTTAAGCCAAACTGCCCCCCCCATTTTTAGCAATGTTACCCTTTTATGCTCAATTCATATTGCAATACTGTTGACCATAACTAGGAGGACTATAGCAACCTTGAAGTACCCTTTCCATTCTGCTATAGCACTCAAAAGTGAACAAAACAGGCACTTCACACGCTTCTAAGGGATTTTTTTGTAAACAAAAACTGTAAAACTTAGAATGATGAAACGAGAACTGTAATGCACCCCATATATAAAGCAAGCTATCCATAATGGATGCAACATCAATTCCCAACTCTCATGGCAATTCCCATTCCTCTAGCAAGCAAAGTAAGTTTAAATACCTTTTAGATTTTTGTGCACGCTTAGAATGAACTTTTCCTTCAGCATCTACAGTTGGCTGTTTAAAAGAGAGATGAAGTGTTCATAGTAAAGCATTTTCAACATTCACAATAAAAATTACTTCCCTGTTTTTTAGGATTACTTAATAATATTCAACTGGCTATATAGGCTTTATCTGACAAATGTATTTAGGCGAAGACGGAGGTCCTGTGCTTGAGTCGGACCGGACCGGGGTTAGGACTCCCTCTTCCCACCTTTGATGGGGCACCTTTGGTGCCAGCTTCGGAGGTTAGGAGTGCTCCTGGACCCCATCTTAACAATGGAGGCCTAGGTGGCAGCCACTGCCAGATCGGCCTTTTACCATATTCGGCTGGTACGGCAGTTGGTTCCTTTCCTCGACCGCAATGACCTAGCTACAGTGATCCATGCGACGGTCACCTTGAGGCTAGACTACTGTAACGCTCTCTACATGGGGCTGCCTCTGTCACAAATCCGGAAGCTGCAGCAGGTGCAGAATGCTGCAGCCAGGCTGTTGGTGTGCGCCCCTAGGTGGGAGCACACCCGACCTGTGCTGAAAGTGCTGCACTGGCTGCCTATAGCATACCGGATTCACTTTAAAGTGCTGGTGCTTACCTTTAAAGCCCTACATGGCCAGGGTCCAACATACCTGAGGGACTGCATTTCCCCATATATCCCCCAAAGAGCACTTCGGTCGGGGTCACAACACCGGCTGGTCACCCCGTGCCCCAAGGAGGCCAAGCTTGCAGCAATGAGGGCCAGGTCCTTTTCAGTGGCGGCTCCTATCTGGTGGAACGAGCTCCCGGAGGAGATCAGGGCCCTGTGGGACTGCACAAGGTCCCGCAGAGCCTGTAAGACGGAGCTCTTCCGCCAGGCTTTTGAGTAGGAGCCGCCACTGCCACTACCGCTCCATTATACAGCGATACTGCCGGAGGGCCGGGTAACATCTAGCTTGGCCCTGGTCCTCCCTTGTTACGCAAGATGTTGGGAGTTTTTAGTCGTGCTCCGATGGAATTGAATTTTAACTGGTTTATATGAAATTTGAACTGTTTTACATATTGTATGCACCTTGTGCCTGTGTAAGCCGCCCTGAGCCCACTTGCGGGGAGGGCGGGGTATAAAGACAATAAAATAAATAAATAAATAGTGGCGGACATACCAAGGCTCATTTCTATTTGAGGGCCTCATATGATGTGTTACAGGTTAACTCAGAATTTTAAAAGAACCATAACATCTTTTTGCATGAAAAGGCTTACCAATTTATGCTCAATACAAATAGAACAGTAGTGATAACCTACAGGTTTCACATCCTCCTTTGCTCTTCTGAGTTTCATATGAGTTTATGGCTTGCTCCTTCCAACACACTTCCATACTTCCAACACACACAGTATGTTTTAATATAATAAAAGCAACAGGATTTGTGACTAGTAGTTAGTGATTATATAGAGAGCCTAGCTTGGGTAGTTAGGAATCTTCAACTCTGATTTTTTAAAAACAATTAACAGATACAGAAGTTTTTTCTGTCCTGATCTTGGCCTGGTGGAACATGCTCCCGCATGAGATCAGGGCCCTGTGGGACCTTTTACTAGTCCACGGGGCCTGTAAAACAAAGCTGTTCATCGAGGCCTTTGGTTGAGGTGGCATGTGTCCAGTAAAAACAACTCCGCCTTGACTGCTGAAGACACCATCTCCATGCAGCCCGGATTGAACAGAATCCAGCAGCACCAGTTATCTGTACAAATTGTTTTTAAATACTGTTTTAATGTTTTAACTATTTATTATGTTTTGTGTTGTCGAATAGCCTAACTATTGTTGTGATCCACCCTGAGCCTGTTTGCAAGGAGGCTGGACTACAAATTTGAAAAATAAATAAATAAAATAAAGAGTGAACGTACAGGCAGCATTTTACCCATTTACTGACTGAAGGTTTCCCCCCCTTACTTACAAAGTTATGTTTGTCAACCTGGGGACTACACCCCAACATGCAGGTTATATGTTTGGTCAAATGACTGTAACAATAAAGACCTGAACGGCAAGAACCTTGTTCTTCTATCCAGGTGGGCCCCATTTTACTACCCAACTGACGATCAAGTTCATAGACACAAGAAGTGATAACTTTAAGCATATCAGAATGCTTGTATTTAGGTTTGGTCCTTTGGCGTAGTCTCACAATTCCCATCTCTTTGCCATGTACACTCAGCTCCTCCTACAGCTTTTAAATTACTTTTTCATTGAAAAAAGAGCCCTTTAAAGAAGAATACTGCATATATCCTTCTAGACATTTACTTTTGAAATAGAACTGTCATTTTCACCAACACTGCTGGAGTTTTGAAATTCCACACCTAAAAAAACGAGAGAGAAAAGTTAGTATACCCAGTGCTTTCCAATATTTAAAATTAAGTACTGCACTTCAATAGAGCTGCACTGAATTTTTTTTTAACAATTTCAGTTACTGTATAAAAAGTAATTCCACAATGCTGACAACCCCAGGTGGTTTTGAAAGGGAAAAAAGTATGCTTGTTTTTGGAAAAAAATCTGCATTCCAAAAATGCCTCACAATCCCCCCCAAACCACCTCCATGTTCCATCCTACAATGCCAATATGTTAAGGATGCAGTCTTATGCAGATATATTGAGAATAACCCCAAAAGGATTCACTGAGATTTATTCTTAAGTAACGTGCACAGAATAGGGCTGTAACATCCTTTCATTTTGAGAGCCAGTATCACATAATAGTTAAGATACTTGACTAGTACAACTCATGTCCAAATTCTGACGTATGAAGGTCACTGGGTGAAACTGGGTTCTCGCAGCCTAGTATACTTCATGTGAGAAAAAGTCCCTTGAAAAAAGGATAAGATAAAAATGTCATCAATATGGTGGTTTCAGGTGAATAACCATGTTGGTCTGCTGTAGAAGAGTACAATTCAATTCCAGTAGCCCCTGAAAGGCCAACACGATTTCCAGATACATCCTGGAAATCTTGTTGGTCTTTAATTGGCTACTACACTCAAATCCATGATGTGGGGTGGGGGGGGAAGTACAATTAGATCCCCTGCATTACATGGACACAATAATTTCTTCCCAAAAGATCTAACTGAACCTCGTGTTGGTCTGCTGTAGAAGAGCACGATTCAATTCCAGTAGCCCTTGAAAGGCCAACAAGATTTCCAGATACATCCTTTTACACTCAAATCCATGATGGGGGGGGGGGAGTACAATTAAATCCCCTGCATTACATGGACACCGAATAATTTCTTCCCAAAAGATCTAACTGAACCTCTTCCACGGGCTACATCCCACTAAATAAAGCCTTAAAATTAATCACGCATAATGTAACTGCCCAGGCCCCGTTCCTTTTTATAGGGTCTGAACGAAAAGAGCACCAAAAGCAAAGTAGGGGAACCTGACAAGCACGCAGAGTTTTTGACGGGGACGGCGACGGGATTCGACCTTCAACCCCCGAGTAATTCAGACCACCACCTTTTCTTCCTCCTCTGCCACCCACACGAAGTGCAGAAGAGCCCCTTCGACGGGATCTCAGATTACAAGATGGCCGACCGGATCCCTCACAAACCACGCCGCTTCGTCCAGCGGTCCACCTAACGTGCAATACTGCCGAGACGAGGGATAGGTCTGGAGGCGACAAATACCTAGAGGAACAGACGGGGCGAGGAGAAGCACCTGTCTCTCCCCCGCCTCTAACCTGAGGCGTTGTACCCTACAAGCCGGCAGGCGACGCTCCAT